GTACAGAAATATCACCCCATAAGTGATAATGATTATTATTAAATTTCAGGAACACAGTACCACATTAAACTGAGGCCAGCAAACTAGCCTTCATAATGTCCTGCCATCACATGGCTATACCTTGCTTTCTTTCCCGCCATCTACAGAAGCCCTTGACTTAGTTATGCAGACACTGGTAAATGCAAATCCCAGCTTTGTGGCTGCATGTGATTTTTAGATGTCCTTCTTCTATGGATTTTAAATAAACTACTGTATGGAAGAAGACAGCCATAAATTGACTTTAGGTTCATAACTCATGTGTTTTCAGACTTTCACAGTAGGGTCTGTGCACAGAGGAAGTGGGTAAAGGTAATCCTGCTATGGAACAAAACTGATTCCACAGACTAAGGCCAGTCTTACTTCCTTGTGCTCTGTGTTCTGTGGAACAAGAGTCACGTTGTAAGAAATGGTGCAGTTGCTTGACTTGAGAGAAGTTAATATTTTATTGAACACTGGGCTCATTTTGGCTTGGAGGCAATCGCTGTTTCAGGTAAGGCACGTGTAAAGGCTTATGCCTTCCCAAAATGGGCATGTTTCAGAAAAAACATTCCCAATTCCAAAGGAGGCAGCCCCTCCCAACTAGAGTGCATATTTAGGTAGACCAGGTCAGTAGAGACTTTGAGACTCACTCCCTTGAATATGAGAAGTGCTGGGGCCAGGGAACAGGCACACTGCTCATCTTCCAACTCCCAGGGGACAGATGACAGTTTTGCAAGGACAGGTTCACAACATCACAAATGGTCTGGGGGTGGAGAATGTTTCCACAGAGCAGGAGGGATGACTTCCTCCAACAGACTAAAAAGGTAAGTGCACAGGCCAGGATGCTAAAGGGGACAGTGTTTCCTGCCAGCCACCCTGTGCTGCCGGAGCACACATTCACACATCCCAGCTAGGCACACTGGTGGCAACAGTCAGCAGGGGGGAGAAGCTAAAGAGAGAAATCGAGATCTGCTTAGATCTTAAAACCTTCAGCATTCCCCAAAGAAGCAGAATCCATAAGTTATTTCTGACTGACCGCAGCTGTTTTTGAACAACCTTATTGAAGCCATCTTCTACTTGTTCCTTTGGGCCAGTTAACCAGGCTGTTTATGGGCTTTCCTTCAGGGTGGGGTTTCTCAACCTCTCAATGTACTAATTGATTTCTGGACCACACACTTCTTTGCTGGGGGTGGGGGCTGTCCTGAGCATTGTAGGCTATTTGGCAGCATGACTCACCTCTACACACTCGATACCAGGAGGATCTTTCCTCCTCTCTCTGGTAATGAAAACCCAATGTGTCTCCAGACATTGCCAAATGTCACCTGGGGGGACTGCTTGAGAACCAGTGCTTTAAGCACACATTTTTAAAGAATCAGGGTGAAAACCTGGAAGAAGTGGGATGCAGCCCGGAGCCTGTGGGTGGGGCAGACATGCTTATGCACACATGACTGCCCTCTCCTGGATGGCTGTGTTAGTGCAGGCAAGATCCCCTCATCACCCAACCAGTACCTTGTTACTATGGGCTGTAGACTACAGCTACTGCTAGGGGTAGCTAATGGTGTTAACGGAGCTGGACTATGGAGAGATCCAAAAATATGATGGGTCTTATGGGCTGGTGGTGGAAAGGGCACTGAACTGGGAGAAGTCTTGCTTCCAGGCTCAGATTTGACACCTTGGGGCACTGGTTATGGGTTTGAGCTTGAGAGTCACACAGGCTGACATTCACATCTCAGAGACAGGAAGAAATCCGAGGTCCCTGCCCTCAAGGTGTTCTTCCTCTTGTGGGGTGACAACACTTCTCGCTCTGTAGTTCTTCATGGCCCTGATCACCACGAGATGTGTAATACACTGACCTACTCACTGCTGCTCTCCCCCATTCCTGGAACGTAAGCGCCTGGGGTGCAGGGCCTTCTCTTGCTCACTAGCAGGCACACAGTACAATGCCAGTGCTGAGCACATGGCAGGTATGCAATGAATATTTGTTGAAAGAGTAAAAAATATACAAAATGCAAGGAAAAAATATCTATGTATGCCTGAGAAATTCATAGGAGATTTTCCAAGAAATATAAAACTCAAAACACATCTTGAAGAATGACTAGTTTCTGAAGCAGTTGGCGTAGAAAGTTGTGGTGAGAGTTGAGAAGCGGAGGGGACTCCAGACGAGGACCACAGCAGGAGCAAAGGCACAGAGACGTGCAGGGACACCGCTCTCCTCCGCACCCTCCCAAAAGGTCCAGAACTTGTGAGAAGCAGGAGCTGTTTCAAATCCCTCCTGTGCAATCTCCCTTTACTCTGATCCTAGGACAGGGCTCGGCTGCTAGCAGGCCTTTATGAAATAAGTTCAATTATCTTCCGGATCTCTAACTTAAAAAAATTTTTTTTCTTTTAAACTGTGTTCTCAAATATGCCTGGCAGATCAGAGAACAAACCACAGAGCTGAAGGTAGTACTAGATGTTCCTCAGTCAACACTAATTCCTAATATAAAGAACACATATGGTTCCTTATTTGCAAAGCAAAGCTCTCGGCCCATCTTAGTCTCCTAACATCCTGTGAGGCAGCCCCACATCATTTTTCCATCACACGAATGGCAAAAGGGAGGCACAGAGGATTAATATACAGGAAGGCCAGAGCCAGCCCAGATCCCAGGCCCTTTAATGGGAAACCCTTGGGAAACCCTCTATCTGACCCTGCTGCCTCCTCTTCGAGCTGGCCCCTTGTCTGTCCCAAGGACACTGTATATACGCCACATACACCCCTGTGACTACCTCTTCTAACTGCGGCACAGACCTGGAGGGATTCCCCCTCTCCTCCTGAGATGTGAAAGCAGCTTGAAGTTTCTTGCAAGTGTAGCTGGGGCACCTTCTGAAGATCAAAAAGTGACGCCGCTGCTGACTTGCCAGCCCTGGGCTGGGTCGATCTGGCACTGGGTGAAAAGGCCTTTGAAAACAAAGGGGATTCTGTGCACCTGGGCCAGCCCACAGGTGAGTGGAAAGGAGAGTCAGGTGGCCTGTGGGGACGAGCTAATCTGGTTCCTCCAGTGCCTGACCCAGTGGGGAGGGGAGCTGGTGGCTCTGTGTGGCACGTTCTCTCCTGTGAAGCCTAAGATCCACTTGCCCACAGATGCCCACCTTAGGTCCTGGGCACCAGCTTCCTTTCCTGCCCTTCTTTCTATTCCTCTCTCTCAAGTGCTTTGCTCCTTCCACTGGGTGATATTAGCATATGTATGTATATTTTGGTTTTCATCCATGGTTCCTGTCTTGTTCTAACTTTCCCTTGCCTTTCTGTCTTGGAGCTGGCCGTAAAGAAATTCTCTGACCTACCCTGAGTGTAGGTCATAAGAGCCCCATATCAGAAGGTGACCCAGCCCATACCTGGGAGGAAGGAATGGAATGCTGCACAGAGAGGCCGAGAAGAACCTGAACAAACAGGCCTTGCCAGGTTTCCCCAGTCGAATAGTATTAGATCACACCCTTTTCGTCCAATCACATTTCAGCACGGTTGTCCGTACTTCAGTCATGCCTACATAATGAAGCTTCCATTAAAAACCCAAGAATGCAGGTTCAGAGAGCTTCCAGATAACTGAACATCTGGAGGTTCCTGGAAGGTGGTGCGCCTGGGGAGGGCATGGAAGCCCCACACTCCTTCCCCCATACCTTGCCCTATACCTCTCTTCATCTGTATTCTTTGAAATATCCTTTGCAATAAGCTGGTATACATAAGTGCTTCTCAGAGTTCTGGAGTCGTTCAGCAAATTAATCAAACCCATGGAGGTGGTCGTGGCCAGCCATCCCAATTTAGCACCGGTCAGAAGCACAGGTAAAACAACCTGGAGCTTGCAACTGGCATCAGAAGGTGGGGAGGCAGTTTTGGGGACTGAGCCCTCAACCTGTGGGATCTGAGGCTGTCTCCGGGTAGACAGTGTTGGAACTGAATTAGAGTACACCCAGCTGGTGTCCACTGGGGAATTGGTTGCTTACTGGTGGGGAAAAATTCCTATATATTTGGTCACAGAAGTCTTCTGTGTGATGATTATGCTGTGAGAGCAGAGGAAAAACAGTGTGTTTCTTTCCCCATACACATCACAAGAGGACTGTGATGCTTAAAAGGAAAGAACATAAGAAAGCGCTTAATACAGAGCTAAGAATCTAGGACATTTTCAACAAAGTCTTGCTTCCCTTCATCTCCAAGGCCACTGCCTCCTGCAAGCGATCGGAGACCGTTTGGGGTTGCTCTAGCGGAAGACTTCCAACTGTCCCACATATCTGCTTCCCTCCTTCCTTAGTAATAGAACCTCTGATTTTTTACTGTGCATGGCTACCCGAGATGAAACTACCGGCCTCCCTCACAGACAGTGTTGCTGTGTAACCAGGGTTGGCCCCTACGGTGTAGCTGGAAGTGCTGCCTGACTTCAGGGAAGGGCATGCTCCTCTTCCTCCCTGACACCTGAGATGAAACTACCGGCCTCCCTCACAGACAGTGTTGCTGTGTAACCAGGGTTGGCCCCTACAGTGTAGCTGGAAGTGCTGCCTGACTTCAGGGAAGGGCATGCTCCTCTTCCTCCCTGACACCTTCTTAGTGGCTGGAATAACACACAGAGTTGGAGCCCAAACAGCCATTTCACATAAGAGGGGGAAGCAGGGTAGAGGCTGGAGAACAGGAAAGAAGGAGCCTGGGTGCTTGACCTCTGGAGGACCATGCTGGCCTGGATCTCCCCCGGTGGACTTCATCTGTGCAAGAGAGAGACCACCTTCCCTCTTGTTTAAATCATTGTTTCTGTGCGTTTTCTTTCACTCCCAGACAAACCTCATCCTGATTGATCACGGTCCTATCCCTGTTTGACCAAGTTATCAGAGGTTCACTGCAGGCCTTTGGTAAGTTCCCAGAGACCCCCAGCAGAAGAGACCACGCCTACTCCATCTCTGGAGCCAGAAATATGGGCCTCCAGGAGCTGTGACTCGCAGGGAGCCTGAGGACCATCTTGACTCCGGGGCGTTAGTTAACTCCAGAGGAGAGGGATGGGAACCGCGTTTACTAAGAATCTACTACACAGCAGTTGTTCTTACTTGAGCCAATAAGGGACAAAATAAGCCTTATAAAACATTAAGGAACTGCATCAGCTCTGTAGACTTGACATCTGCTGTGGTCCTTATCTGCCTGCTGACGGTCTCAGAAAGAAACGTACTCTTTTGTACCCACATCAGGGAATGAATCTGGACCTTAAGCAAATCAGAGGAGTTGAACAGCGACACTCAAAGAGTAGTTCATGGACTAGCTGCCTGTCCTCACACGGTCTGTTACTAGCCTGCAATGAGGTAGGAGCTTGTGCCACAGTGGAGAACAACTGCATCACTAAGCACATCATTTCTTTAGTTGACATTTTTTTTTTCATAGCAAGACTCTCTCAGTGAAGGAAGCAATGGAGTAATATACAGTCTGGCAAAAGCTTTTTGTTTTCGGACAGCACGCTGAGTAACACTGCTCTAGAATGTGGTTACCCTGTTACAGGGCTTTAAAAAATATTTATACTTGGTCCCCAATCCAAACCAAACGAGTCAGAATCTCTGAGGATGGGGCCCACATATCTGTGTTGGAATAAAGCACCGAGGCTGATTCTGAGCGGTAGCCATGGTAGAGAACCACTGTTTGGATATGATAGGAGGGTGGAGGGTGCCATATTATCTTTCCAGGACCAAAGCAACGTGAACAACTTCTGGATGCACTCGCTGTAAACTTACGCTGGCTCTGCTGGGCATGACAAACTTGTAGTAGAGTCTTTCCTGGGTTCTCTATCACTCACTGATTTGATAGAGGTTGGAAAATTACCTTGGATAAAATTTAAACTTGGAGAAATATTCTTTCTATTGGCCTTTGTTCATACTGTCGTTTTTCCTAAAGCTTTCAGGACTTACTAAATTTATTCTCTCATGAACACAAACCCAGCTTCTTTAAAGCCAACACAAAAGAGGAAAAAGAACTTCCCTCTCCCCCGACACAGCCCCTAGCACTGTCCACTGTTATCACCAGACACCTCTGCATGCATGAGAGGTTAGGTGCCTCCAGAGACAGGACAATGGTTCCCGGATGGTGACACCCTCTGTGTGTGACCCCAAGGTGATGGAACTCACACCCCACGTCCCTTACCTGCAGTTCCCAGGCTCAGCAGCACAGCCACCCAGAGGACCCAGAAGAAAATGAGGATGGCAAATGTCCACAGTGGCTGGAACAGCAGGAGAGGAGAGCTGCTGATGGCTTTATTTGTGACTTGGAAAAGCTCAACTGTCAACTTTATTCTCTTTCTTAGGACAAAAATCAAGATGAGCAGGACTGCCTGGTGAGAAAGGGGTGAGAGTAAATTATTTCAAAATAATGAAAAACTGGGTAGAGCTTAAAACAAACCCTACTATTTTACTGACATCTCAGCAAACAGTTCACTGAAGACAGTCACTCATTACTTTTGTTATAATTGGACAGATACATTCTCAAACACTACTTGAACATCTATTACTGTGTGCTGGCCCCCATGCTAGATCTTACAGCAATAACAGTGAACAAGACACGGCCCCTCCCTAAAAGACCTTGCAGTCTGGTTAGAGAGCAAGGGAAAATGACATCGAGGACCTCTAGGGTCAGGGAACTTTCTTCTATTTCTGCTCCCACCCCCTGCCCCAAACCCAGGATATGAAGAGAACCCAGTACACTGCATAGGGCAAGGGACGTGAGTATGAGCAATCACCCGTGCCTTCTTCTCTACTGGCTTCTCCCTCCCTGCATCGAAATATCTACAAATCTCTCATGTTAACAAAAGGAAATCATCCTTCACCCCCACATCCCGTCCAGCTGCTGCCATCTCTCATTCTCTTCACAGCCAAGATTCCAGGCTTATCTACACTCACCATCTACACTTCCACACCCCAACTCATTCTTCAACTGCCCGCAAACCTCCAGACCCTGTCCAGCTGCTGCCATCTCTCATTCTCTTCACAGCCAAGATTCCAGGCTTGTCTATACTCACCATCTACACTTCCACACCCCAACTCATTCTTCAACTGCCCGCAAACCTCCAGACCCCAACACTCTGCTGAGGCTGCTCTCCCCGAGGTCAAATCCCGTGGAACATTCCAGGTCTTGCTGGACCTCAGCATGGCATTCGAATCTCTTGTCCACTCCTCTTTTCTTGAAATTTTCTCCTCCTTTGGCTCCCAAGATTTTTTCTCTTATTTGGCTCTAGTTTTCGGGATCTTTTGGGAGTATCTCCTATTTTGTGTGTGTGTGTGTGGTTTCAGCATCCTTCCTAGATACTGACAACCTTCAAATCAATCAACTCCTTTTGGCTCTAGTTCTCAGTATCTTTTGGGAGTATCTCCTATTTTTTGTGTGTGTGTGTGGTTTCAGCATCCTTCCTAGATACTGACAACCTTCAAATCAATCAACTCTCCAGCCTCACCTTCCTCCGGGTGCTGGGTGAGGAAGCACACCAGTTACTGGCAAGGCCATGGGAGTCCTACAGTGTCTCAAACTCCACCTGTCCTGAACCGAGTTCGTTACCTTCACACTACTCTCTCTCCTTCCCCCTGTATTCCCTATCTCCAGAGGCTCTAATGTTTCTGGACTCTCCGAGAATAAGTCAGGTCTTCTCTTGTGTGCTTCCATTTTATCCCCTACTTACCCCACTGTAGTACTTAACATGTTCTACCATAAAGCTTTACTTGTCTGAACTTCCCGTTAGATTGAGCTCTTGGACAGCAGAGCCATCCTCATTGTCAGGACTGACAAAGTGCACAGCACAATCCCAGTCACCTCTGATTCAGTTTCCTAAATACCTCTCAAGCCATCCTGTCCTCTCTGTCCCCATGACTGATGTCACAGCTCCAGTCTCATCTTCTCTCATCTAGACCCCAATAACCTCATTAGCTTTCTGCATTTAATCTTCCTGCTCCCACCTCAATCCCTCCTCTACTCCACAGCTAAAGGGACCTTTGTAAAGAGCAAAGCCAAGGATGTTATCTCCTTGCTCAATATCCATCAAAGGCTCCCTAGTGCCTCTGGATAGAGATCAAACTCACTACTACCGCAGATTAGGACCTTCCGGACATGAATCCTCCCTGCACCTGCATCTCTGGCTTTCGCCAAAGGAACTTCCTGCAGGTCACTCTCCTGTTCATGTGACCCTGTGCATGTTGTTCCCTGGGCCTGAGTTTCTCTTCCAGCTGGCCTGGAGCATTTTTGACCTCAAAGACCTCACAGTCCAGAGGAAGAAAGACAGTCAGAGGACAGGGGGATAAATTGTGCAGAAGCTGCTCTGGGATCTGGGAGCAGAACCTTCTGACCCTGTGGGTGGGGCTGGGGGTGTGTGTCTGGAGAGGCCAAGCAAGACACCAGAGGAGACCCTTCGGTTGTAAATGATGAGTAGGAAATCCCTTCTCTGTGTTCTCAGTGCCTAACACAATCAAAAAGGAAGTAGGACTTTTGCTTGTTTTTTATTTAAAATTTTAACAAAGCAAAGTGATATAATCTTTAGGCAAATAAACTTGGCTTCTAGCTCCTAAGTGGAATGCTAGCATATGTGTGTATATAAATGTGTGTGTTTCACAACTTGTACTATGTGTATGCACAGAACGCCGTATTGGCACTCTAAATGTGGTGCAAGGATGTTCTTCAGAAGTGCTGAGTTAACTCTAACCAAGGGAGGTCGTGTCTTCTGATCCTGACGGTGCTGGGGTGAGGGCTGAGCTAGGTGAGGGCTGCCTCACCACGCAGGGCCCTCAGCTTCAGGGAGCTGCATTTCCGCCTAGCCTCCTAGGCTGATGCCCTGAGGCAAGCACTTACTGCCATGCACCCCATTTTCTTCATCGTTGCTAGCAGTTATACTGAAACTACTTAAATAATAGGCACAGGCAGCCCCCATCTTCCCCGAAAAATGTTCTCAAGTGTATTTGTAAGGCGGCTTCTGGGAACTCAGGAGCCAGGAACACATCCCTCCCAGGAGGGACTCAGGCCATGGGTTAGGCTCTCGGGTCACTGCTGGGCTGCACACAGGAGGGAGGGAGTGGGGGGTCAGTGAGCCGGGGTCTCTGAGGTGAGCAAAGGACGAGTGTTGAGGGAGGTGTCCCTCCTTCTCTTTCTAGTCCTCTCCTGCTAATGATGGTTTTCTCCTTTATTCCCCTTCCCTGGAAATTGGGAGTGAAAAGGGGGATAGAGAGAAGGGAAGAGGGGCGGCTGATCACTTCTCTTTCCCCTCAGACACCAGTGCTGGGGCAGGGAGCAGTGCCTGCGTGGGGGACAGGACTCGGCTTTCTCTCTCGGTTCTGTTTCTGCAGGCTCTGTGCAAGGTCTGTGCAAGCAGAGCCGGGGCTGGCAGGCAGGGGTGCGAAGCAGGGTGGGCAGTGGTCTCCCTGGCATCCTCCTGCCTTGTAGCCAGACCAATTTCCCCAATTTCCCCAGACAACTCTTCAGCCAAGTGAGTGAGCCTGCCAGGTAGCACGGGGGGAGGGGGCAGGGGGTGCTCTCTGGTGAACGCTGGGCTCCCTGGTGGATAAACCCCTTAGTGGGAGGGAAGTCGATACCCCAGTGGGCAACTTTGCAACAGCACCCCCACTGGACAGATGAGGGGACCGAGGCCTAAGTGGCCAGGTCATTCCTCCCAGGTCACAGAGTGGGTGATGGGGCCTGGATTTCAGAGCAGGCCTGAGACTGCAAAGGTTGGGCTCTTTCCCTGTGTTTCCCTGTGTGCCACGTTGTGACGTTGCTTGCTGTGTAATTCACCTTATCACAGGGCACGTGCTGTCTTGTGTTTTATGTCTTGCTAGTTCCACTGCTTAGTGCAGAGCCCTGTGCATAAGAGGGGCCGTGCAGAAATGGTGATGCTGACAAGGAACCTGGGGCTCTATGATAAGCGTCTGCCAGCTCAGCCAGCAGCCGGCACTCAGTAGGAACTCATGCCAGGTGAATGGTAGTGAGCTGTGGCTCCATCCTGCCCTCTGGGCCAGCCTGTGTGGGCCTCACAGACATGGGTGGAAAGAGCTGCTCTCTCCTTCCCAGCCTCCCCTGCCCTTACCCTCGGCGAGGAGGAGAATGCACCCCTGATCCTGGGACCTGGTGGCCATGAGTGGTGCAGTGTGTGAAGACAAAGGGAGTCCTGTGGAGGCTCAGGGAGGACCTGGGCTCTCCCCACAACTCCAAGCCCCGCATCTCCTCCCTGCACCCAGCAGCCCCCGCAGCCCGGCCTGGGCGTGGGGAGCCCTTTCTCCTCCAGCCTCCTTCACACACCTGCTCGGCACGGCCGGTCCCTGCCCGAGGATGCATGAGGCAGTGCTTTACTTGTTGTAATTTTGCTCCCTGACACATTTTATGTGACAATCACAACCCAAAACCTCACTGTGGAAAGGACAGAAAGTGGAGACTGTGACAAATGGGGACCTGAAGGACTTCCTGAGAGGAGAGTATTGAGTTGGTGAGAGAATGTGCATTTGCTGAAAGATGTAATGGGCTTGTGGAACCCCCTGGCTGCTCCTCCATAAAATGGTGAGTAAGCAGCACACCAGCGAGGAGGACCACGGCTTACCTGAAGTCAGTTCCAGACCCTCCCCAGGGTCTTGTGACGGTAGCACTTCCAACGCCGCCTGGGGGAATGACCTGATGGTTTTTGGTTGCCAACCGCCCTCCCCAGTATCTGCCACCTCAGTGTTCTAAGTTAGCCTGTTTTCAACTAGGGCGTTCACTGAGGAGGCAGCAGGTTCTCTAACAACCAAAATAACCCTGTGGCCAGCAGGTTTGGAAACAAAGGGCCTGTGTGCTCACGGGCAGCCGAGCTGGGCCTGAGCGCTGAGCCTCCGCTGGCAGGAGGGCGCCTCTCCCCACACACAGGAAACGGGAACCGTGGTAACGGCCTCTACCTCACAGCCCTTGGAGGTGAAAACGGAACAACAGCAAGGACGACAGATCAGTCTCTGGGAGATGGCAGACATGAGATTTGGAAAGAACTTTTTCTTATTTTTTGGAGGTTTTGATTTATTGCTATGCAGGTATCTCAAATGCAAAGGCACTGAATCATGCATGCACATTCTGAGGTGAAAGAAAAACAAATTCTAGTTGTGTTTGGCTAGAGTTCAAATGACTTGGATTTCAGAGTTCTGGCTGGCTACTTGACCTACTGCTGTAAGGGGTTTCTTACCGTGATGGCCGTAGACACAACAGCAAACCCCAGCACACACTTCATATTTTCCCTTTCTGTGTCCAATTCTATGCTGAGGTCATTGGTATAGTCATAATACAGCCACCACAGGACACCGGAGACAACTAGAAAGCAAAACAGCAGTGAAGCTGAGCACGCAGGCCATGAGACATCCGCCCCCAGCATGGAGAACCCCATGTGGAAACCCAGCCACACTGGCTGACCAGTGGCCCTGCTCAGGCAGTGGGTCCCAAGTTCCCGGGGGCTTTGCTGACAACTGCTGCCCTCTGCAGGAGCTGAGCAGAGCCAGGGCAGCCCACAATGGACCCACCAGTCCTGGCATGGCTGCTTGTCTTTGTGAGATGCAGGGAGGTGGCCCCAGAGCACAGGTGCCTAGCCCACAGGTTGGGTCTGGGCATGAGCAGGAAGGTAACTGCACCAACAAGGGGGTGAGAGGAACACATTAGAGCCCAAAGTCTAAAACTTTCAAACAGTAACCAGGAACCTGGATACTGGCCTCTCACCTGTGAAACTGGGCATGTTTACATGGCCTGTGGAAATCATGTAAGTCTGAGGCTCATTCTGAGGACACCCTGACATTGTAAATACTCTGCACTGAGGCACAAAACACCACCTTATGTCATATCCACAGAAACCATAGGAAGGTCACAGTTGCCTTCTCTCATCGTAGATGGGGAAAAGCGTCCCTCACAAGTCACTGTGCCTGTCCTCCAACACGCGCTACAAGGCTCTATGGTGCTGAGGGCAGAGCTGATTATTCAGTGGAATGAAACACTAGTCATATCAGTTATTAAAAATTAAAATACCCCATACCAATTGATAAACAGCTGCTGTTTTGAGACTCCCACATGCCCCTTCCCTTAGGACCCCCTTTCCCAACAACCCCTGGTTAGACCCACAATCCAGCAGCTGAAAGGGAAACAGGGGCACAGTGCAGGGTCTCCAGGACCCTGCTCCTGCTCAGGCCTGTGTCTCTTCAGACTGGCCAGAGCCTTTGCATGACAACTGTGGGCACCCACATGCCAGTGGGTGGGGTGCAAGGTCAGAAGACATCCTTTAAAATGCTTCCCACAGGCACTGGAATTCTCTTTTCACATCATGGATGCCAGGATCATTCGACTGGAAGGCTCAGCTCAGGAGCGGCATGGTGTCGTAGAAGAAATATAACAGACTGGTCACTGACTTTGCTGTTATTTGATACATAAGCAACTCCCATTGTCCTCTCCGCCCTGAGTCCTCTCGCCTGTAAAGTGATGAGGCTGAACTAGGTATAAGACCCCAATTAGCTCAAACATTCCAACTCTGAAGTTCTATACTTAAAGGAAGGGCTTTTCATTTAATCAAAAAGAAGTCGATCGATTAGAAATACTTACACAACAATCCCAAAATAAGCAGCGCAATGAAAATGTGAACCAGCGTACTCTCTAAGACCCCAATTAGCTCAAACATTCCAACTCTGAAGTTCTATACTTAAAGGAAGGGCTTTTCATTTAATCAAAAAGAAGTCAATCGATTAGAAATACTTACACAACAATCCCAAAATAAGCAGCGCAATGAAAATGTGAACCAGAAGGGTGGTGATGAATCGGAAGGTGAACATCATGGCCAAAGACAAGGCTGAAAAATGAAGCACAGCGCGTGAACCCGACAACAAAGGGAGGCGGCGGCAGCGGGGCCGCGATTACCAAAACCTCTGGAAAAGTGAGAGCTGAAGACTTTATTCCATCTCTGAATACCTTGGGACGCCTACCAAACACCAGACGAAAATAACCAGACACACCCAGGGCACCTCAGGAGCACAGGTCAGTTCAGTCGGCTACAGTAAGCCTGTCTCTGAAAGTGCGAGCATTCTTCTTGAATTTGAAAAAAAAAAAAATACCAAAACGGGTATTATTCCCAAATACTCCAATTTGGACCCATGAAAAATTCTAACTTTAAATGTTCTCAGATACTCTTATTAAACAGGAAAGATTAATGCCCTTAAAATGAAAATTTTAAGATTCTAGTATAAAGTAAGCTATTATGTGTAAAATACTGCATTTAATTTGCCAGTATTTGGGCTCTTAGGCTTACGAGTTTTTTTTCTAACTATTTGAGTAAATTTATAAATACTATTTTATTTTCTAAACAAGAAATT